AAAATAGAAGACCGGTCTTCTATTCGAGTGAATACGGTATAAGAAAATCGAGGAACTTGGTTGGAAAGTGCTGCCCCACGCACCTTACTCTCCCGACTTGGCTCCTTCAGATTACTTTTTGTTTCGGTGGCTGAAGCACTTTTTGGAGGGAGAAAAGCTCGATAATCATGCTCAGGTCATAAAAGCAGTGAATGACTACTTCGCCTCAAAAACTCCCAAGTTCTTCGAGAATGGGATCCGGGATTTGCGCAGAATATGGGAAGGAGTCATAGATACTAATGGAGGATACCTTTCGAATTGAAAGCTCTTCTTTTGTGTTTTTCGGAAGTAAATGATTTGTTACATAAACGCGTCATTATTAAGTTGCCAACCTAATGAATTGTGATTTGCATAATTTACTGCCGCAAACGAAACTACTTGAGTTGCGATGGGAGTTTTAAACGTAAGCTTCATTCAAGAGAAAAGATTAAGGTACCTCAAAGTCCCTCAAAAACGATATTGTTTTATTAAAAAGTAATAGAAAGCAGCAACAAATGATTACTTCATTGAGACGGCATGTAGAAGGCCAAAAATTGAGCTTTAAGACCTCCGCAATACCGGTAAGAGACGTAAATGCAAGTCGTCGTTGGGTCGATTCGGCGGCGGTAACACAAGCTGTTTTGGTCGAACAAACGCGGGCTCACGTCGATTTGTCTGAGAAGCTCGTTTGCACGAGATACGAGTGCCAAGTGATTTTCGCCGTCATCGACTCGTTGAAGTCCTTGCACCTGTGAAAGAGAATCATCGGTTCGGGCATGAGTCATGTGCTTTTTGGAGCACGAGAGGTTCCTAAGAAGAAACACAGCTTCAGAGTTCTTACTTGGAATTTCTTTAGTGACAATCCAGTCGACCATTTGACTAAATTGAAGGCAAAAAACCTCCACCCAAATTATTTTGATTTGCGTTTTCATCAGAGCCTCATGGTAAACGTGGAAACAACCCTGGACCTCGACAGTAAGAGTGATCTTCTCGCATCCGTTCAATTGGTTTTCGATGAATTTGCTGAGTTGCTCTTTCATTGCTTGATCTTGTTCTAATGAATCGATGCCGAGGTACAGTTCTGCGTGCTTTTTGACCGACCCATGAAAATTGCTGAAGAACTTCTGGTACCGTTCCTTCGTGAAAAGAGTGCTCTTCAGTTCGTTCACGAATTTCAATTGATTTAAGAACATTGTATAGGTGCGGAACTCGATATCAGAGACGACTAACTTGTTGCATGATTCGACCCGTTTCCCGAAAGGAAGACGAGTTGCATTCAGTTTCGAGAGCCGAGAATTGATGAACTTCTTGATACAAACTTTCCGTGAACAAGAAATTAATCCCAGGCCAACCAAAGCGACGTGCTTTCCGAAAACGATTGATCGATTCTTTGCATAGCTCGTGTGGAGTTTCTTGTTCATCATCATCAATTTCGCCACGTCTTTCACATCAAGATCGTGTGCGATCTCCTCAATCAACTCGAAGGGTAAATCTTGAATCTTCGTTGGTTCCGGTTCTCGCTTTCGCTTTTGTGCGCGCGTTGCAACCGGCATTCTCGTATCTGAAAATAAAAAGACGCCATTGGAATTGACGTTTGTATGATTTACTGAAGCCACTTTTGTCACCAAAACCACTTTTTTAGGCTAATCTAGAGCCTTAATCATTTATCGTTGTAAAAATGATATCAAGCAATCCAATAAATTGTTTCCAATACTAAAAATGACTCCAATAAACCATAAAACAAACGAATTAGAAGCGATAAAACCAAAGAAGATAAAAGATTTCAGAAACAGCCATCGACCAAATTTAATCCAGTCACTGACTTTTGAGCTAAAGCTTTTTGAAAATCTTATTCCGTTTTCTGCTTTCTTTTCTGCTTACAAACCCAATCTTTGAGATGAATTCTCCGATTGCACTTGTCAGATAATAAAGAGCAATATAGCCAAGCAAAGAGCATAAACCCTCCCAATTTGCTGAGAATAGATTGTCTCTTGGAGCACTATCGAAGAGAACCATTCCTAATATACAGTGCTATTTTTAAGATTTAAAAGCTATTTCACGTTATCGATTTCCACAGGCAAAAACATGTAAAATTTAGGGGTGGTCCTATCATTTTGCAACACACCTTAGAAGCGTGCACTTTAAAGCCCCGAAACTCGGCTCAAAACGCCTTTACCCAAGCTCTCGTTAAATCTACGCCCAAAACTACCCAAGAAAAAGAAGAAAAAAAGCCCCCCCCCCCTTTGTAATGAGTCACTTTCAAATGTTCATTTGCCATTTCGATCAGCCATTTCGACGACTTTTTCTCTGGTGATATGCTCCATTGGGTAGAAAGTTAGGCAAGTGAACAAGCTCTAAGCTTTTATTCACGTAAAGCCACAAGCCTTTCACCGCGTCCAATTGCTTGGAGTGGAAGGAGCCGAAAAGAAAACGAAATAAAACCGTATTAGAATTTTAAACAACAAACTTTGGACAAACAATATAAAAAGGAGGGAACAACGAGGAGAGAGAGTACTTTCAAAAGTCGCTATAAAAACATAATAGATTTTATGAAGGGCGGAAGAAAATTTAGCAGGACTCGACATAAAAACCGGACAAAGTTTCCGACCTACATCATCGAATGGAGGAAAAGGGCTAAAGGGAAATTTTCTGCGGGGTACGGTACCGCATCCACGCATTCACGCTTTAGCGCTTTCGCGCTAGCCCCTTAAAAGGGTCTATCCCAAAACAGCGAGGAGCAAAAAAAAATTATTTTCTAGATATCGGCTTTATGGATGTGTGACTTAATATTTGGTTCACCTAGCCATTTGGCATTTTCATTTTGCAGGTAATCAGTCAGCCACAATCAGAAATGGAGTGGGACGCTTCTGCGTGTTTCAAAAGTACAAACGTGGCGGTTAAGGTCTATTTTATCAGCTTTGTGGTAATATGGTTTGTTGGTGTATGAGTTATGGTTTGTTAACATAGTTCTACGGTTTGTTAGTTATTAATTTATTTTTCTGGACAGAATGTCAAGCCAAGAAGGACGGTCACTGATTTACGACTTAGATGGAGTCGAATATCGAAAGGACAAAGCACTTAAATGCGGTGTACTTTTGAGTTATAGTTAAGGGAAGTATAATTTATCTTGTAATATCCAGTTCTGTTTCTTTTTAAGTGTTCAAAGGCGAAATGTTATGGCCGAGCCCCTCAAAACAAAGCAACCGGCATTCTGACGGTCACGAAAAATCACGACCACTTATCACCAGAAAGCAAAAAACAGGTAGATGATCAAGATATTGTTGCTTGTGTAATAAATGCGTTTTTAGATTTGAATTGTGTACGAAGATGTTAAATGCAAGCAAAGATCGTGTCCCCGTCAAAGAAATTGTACGGCGGACGATAACCAACAGTCGAGGTTGGTTTATTTTAATAAAAGCCCAAATTTAAGAAATTTGAGCATGAATATATGTTTGTTCAGTTTTAGTTTGATAGTTTTTTCAAGAGCGTTTAGGGAGCTACTCAGGTTTTTAATTATAAAAGGTTAATACGATTGTGTTTGAGAAAAACAACTTGTCTGGTGTATACCAGGATCCTTTTAACAAAATCTTCGTTCAAGGATTAATGGTTCTCACTTGTGTTCGGCCGATCGCTGTCAAGACTTATTTCCATAATCTCTTCAATGATGCTCTGGTTGCTCTTCCAAGCCGGAAAAATCATTTGATGGGTGAGTCTTCTTAGATGATGGAACTAAGCACATTTAGTTTTGTTCGACTTTTTCGGGAAGAATTATATCGGTCATATGGGGGTATATGGTCGATACATTTTTCTGCGGTATCCAATTGAAATGTGGAATTCGTTCGACTCAATTACGAAGAATGAACAAATTGGAAACTCTTCACAAGAGTCTTATAATGCAAAGCTAAAGGTTATAAATTTATTTTTTGTTGTTATTTGATAATTTATACTACGGATCATTTGAAAGCTTTAGCCGTTTATGTTCATCGTCGCTAGTGTTATGATGTTTCAGAGTCTCTTGGACTATTAATTTGATGCTATTTTGATGTTTTTTATGCATCGTTTAATTTTTATCGTTTATTGGTGTTGGTCATGTTGGTCATGTTATTTTTAAATAAATTATCAAAATTAGAGGCTGCTAATAAAAAAATGAATTTCACATTGTAAAAGAAAAAAACTCTGTTTTGCATCGGCGCTGTTTTGGGTACGGCGCTATTTTGGGTGGCGCTGTTTTGGCCTGCGCTGTTTTGGTATAGGCCCCCTTAAAATCGCACGTCAATAGGAATAATATCAACCTCTAGCAAAAACCCCATCTTCAAGTCGTTTTTCGGTATGTAAACGTGAGAATTACCTCCAAACATCATATATATTCTGAAAGCTCCATTCAAGATCTAGCGAATGGTATATTTTGTATTTGTTGGGCTGTTGGACCAATTTGGTGGGGCGGCCATTTCGACGTTATTTCGGAGATGGAAACCTGTTAAAACCGGTTAAGAACCACTTTTTCTAGAGCAAAATTCAACGAGGAATTCGAAAAACGTGGTTTCGGAACGATAGGCGTCCACTATCATACGAAAATTGATTCTAAAAGTTGAAATTTTCCTCTTTGGAGGGTTGAAATGCTTCAAAAACTAATCTAAACCGAATTGAGAAAATTGGACATTGCGAAAGAAAACTTGTGGATTATGAAAATTTTCGCTGATCAAAAGCTTTTTCAAATGTGCAATTGTTGAAGATAGTTGAGTGAACTGTAAATCGATTGATTTATCACAATTTCATTCACAAATAAAATCACAAAGTAGATCCTGAGATTTCTAATAAGCAAATTTTTTGTGAAATAAGCAAAGAATTGCGTAGAGAGGATTAAATGTACAAAAATCTTATAAGAAAGACTACAATGTAAAGGAAAGGTTTAAAGTTTTGTAAAATAAAGCTGATCATGATGGAATCATGAAATAAAGTTGATCAAGATCAAGATAGAATCAAGAAGCTAAATATAGAGCTTTTGGTGGCGTGAATTCTTCAATGCTTTCCACAGAAGCTGATGAAAATGTTTGTTTCCTGAAAATATTATTAAAAAAGCGATTTGTTTGATATTTGATAGACTTTTTGCAGTGTTAGAATTGCTTATTTTTCGAAGGCGACCGTAAGAAGCTGATAAAGAACTTGTTTGTTTATTCTGGACTTGGATTTGATAGAGTTTTTGCTGAAATAAAGTCCAATCCTAGCAAAGACCAACAATCTATCGATGACAGCTCGTCGATAATCTCGAATGAAATATGTCATTGAAAAGGCATCCATAAGAGGATAAGACGAAACAAAGACAAAGCCGTAGTTTTGCCTGAATTTTTGCTTCTTTTGTTCATTATCCATGATTAAATTAGTAACCAGACTTTAAAGATCGATGTTTAAGAGATCCTAGACTTTCTGAGAAATTGAAGCTCACCACGATCCGACGTAAATCCCGAAAAAGCCACAAATTGTACATTGAATACATGGGGCTCCTTCGAGGATGAATGGGCATGCTGTCTGGAAATTATTACAGTAAAACTAGTAATTTTTTGGTAAAGATCTGGCTAACCTGTGCAATCAATGCTTTTAAAAGATCGGTTTGCATTTGTTTGGCTCGATGACTCATCAAACTGTATTTGAGAGTTCGGTGGATGTTCATAGTGAACCAAACCTGGAAAATTTTGTGAAAAGGACTTCTAAAATGTGATTAAAGCCCTTTTAAAAAGAATTTCTCAAGTAGCTAATAACTTATGATCAAGGTTAGGTTCAAGGTTATTCTAGAAGGAATTCTCAAGGATCAGATCAGAAATTTGAACTTGCAATGACTTTTTCTCTAGTACTGTTCATCAAATGTTCATCAAAAGTTCACGAAAAGTCTGAAAAACCCTGAAGTTTGTCATGAATCAAGTCTAGACCTAGTTTTTTTGTCCATTTTGGGTCTCACTCGGAATACCACACTGAGTGAAAAGCTTAAAACTTCCTGAAATCGAAATCCATGAGAAATCAGAGTAAAAAACTGTAGCACTTGGGAAGGGAGGCTAGTAAACTGGCCCCCAATCCCAAGGGGCCCCAATAAGCACTCCCCGGCAAGGGAGGGGGTCACCCGGAACTTTCTTGGAGGAATCACCTTGACCTCAAGCCCTGACGAAGATCTGTTGCTGTCTCGAGGACCCTATGCCCCGGATCTCCGGCTCCTTCTGGCTTGGCTTACAAACCATAAAGCCAAAAGTTTGGCTCGATTGAAACGCTTTTGGAGGATAGTTCAGGAGCTTTTAGAAGGTAGAGATCAATCTAGAAGCCAGGAACAAGACTTGGTCCAGATTCTTGTTTTGAAAAATCTTAGCTTTTAAGTATTTGTGCGTTTCGCAAACAGTTAATAGAGCATAGTTCTTTTAATCTTGCTATTTTGGAGTTTAATTTTATCGTTTTCAAGTCACAAAAGGAAGTTTTGGTAATTCTCTTGGTCTCTTGGTCTCTTGGTCAATCGGGAATTTCACTTTTCTGCAAAAACGTTTCTTCGTTAAATTTCGGATAGGATCAATTAGTTCAAAAATTGTCAAGGAAACTGATTTTCAATGATTTTCAATGATTTTCAAAGCTTTCAACGATTTTCCTTTACCATTATGCAAAATTTATAGAAAACGAGAGTGCAGATGACCATCCAGCAAATCACATCCCTTCCCATGTACCTTTCAACGCCATTTGTGTCATTTGCCTGAAATTTAGATGTAATTATTGCATTTTTTGGGAAAATTAAGGCCTTGACTGGCACAATTTCACACTTTTAATCGTTTGTTTACCAAAAACAAAATAACAATAACACCGTAATAACACCCTTGCTCGTCCCGAGCTCTGATTTTTTTGTCTCTCTTTAGACATCGTAGACTTGTTTTGAATTTGAACATTCAATTTTTGGATAAGTGTATGATTAAGTCAAAAGTTGAGTCAAAAAAACAACCATTTTTAGAACTCGGTAAGTCTATCGTACCTCTTCTTCTTTTAAAGATGAAAGCTTATGGCAGTTTGACCACATTTTAAAGTACAAATCCAAGTTTTTCTGCTACAGTAAGACTACAGCCATCAATTTCAGATATGATCTAAGGATCTAAGGACTCTACAGTATGCCTACAGTACTCTAGCATTAGCACTAGCATTAGCATAGTTATTAGCTTACATCATTTCAAGTACCAAACCTTGAACAGCGATCCGACAAGCGAAGCATTGTCAATGTTGATGTTATAATATTGCCAAAACTCGGATTTAATATAAGCCTAAAAGTGACAAGTATTGAACAGGAAAAGCGGGAATACTCGATTTCCTCTCAGCGACCATGATTGAATCTCGAATAGTCCGACCCAAGCCGAGAGATCGATGATCACATAGGAGAACAAGAGGAGACGAATTGGCCATCGTTTGAATATGGGGATTAAGTGGAAGCTGGAAATGTTTAATCCGTTGAAAACATTCGACACTCTAGTACAACAGACATCCTATTGTCTAGCAAGTCCTGCCATACGAGCACTTCAGGTAATACTAGTATACCAACTTAATATATAATAATCCTAGTGGTTATCGGCAATTGATACGCGCCCCGCCCCACCCCGCCTAAATTTGAGCTCAAAATTAGATTGGCAATAGCAAGAGGGGCGAGGCGATGGACTTTTATACGCCCCCGCCTCCTTTGCCATTGGCAATCTAACTTTAAACTCAAATATCTTCGTGTTGGGTTGTCCAATTTAAATAGTTTTTGTACCAATCGAGAGAGAAAGACTTGGCGCATCTAATGATATTAAGAATATGTAAATTGGACAGCCCAACAACGAGATATTTGAGTTCAAAGTTGGATTGCCAATGGCAAGGGGCGGGCGCTTATAAAAAGTTCGCACAATCGGCTGAAACCCAGCTTTTTGATTTGCTTCCAGCTAGATTTTAGTGCTTATTGGATTCCTCGGAAAAATACGTCTGTTATCTTTCTTTACTTCTCAATGAGTTACCCACCGGCAAACGACAATATATCGATAGAGAAAGTGAAAAACGATCAAAATCAATTGTTGATTGTAGAGGAGACACCAGTAAAGGATTAGGTACTGTAAAAGAATGATTTTCAAAGCAGAATCCTGTAATTTGTAAGTATTACCTGTCCAACGGATGCACTTATGTAATCCCCAATTGGACCGGCCACGAAAAACGCATAGGAGTAACCAAAGACATGGCAACCCTAAATGAAAATTCGCATTGTTTTTCGAGATTTCTCATACCGGCATCAAAACGAAATGAAATAGTGGAAAGATGATGCTGAACGTGGCGAAGAGCATCATCAAATATTTGTAACGACCGAATTCAGGGCGGCTAAATGAAAACTAAAGTTATTAGCGGTTTTTCAACGAAAAAACAGAAAGAACTAACGATAACTTCTACAAAATCCAGCCAAAACTCAATCTTTCACCTGTGCTTTGCAATCACTCGCACTAGTCCACAATTGGCCACAATCGCCAGTGAGGTGTTGATCATGACAATCGTGTGGCTGAAGTTTAGATGAGCTGGCATCGCAATATTCAGGGATTTTCCCTAAAAATCACCAAAAAATAGTCGAAATTTGGTCACAAAATGAAAGAAAATACTAAATTTTCGGTGTATTTGAAAAAGTGATAATCGCCTGGGTGCAGTGGCCAATTTTGTCGAAAACTCTCTAGAGATCTGTCGAATTCCCGAAATTTTCCACACCGGTAATTAGCATCATTTTCGTCAAATTTTTTCTTTTTCTTCAGAGATTACTTTGATTTCCAAAGGATAATTGCCGATTTTCGTGTTTTTGCCAAGAAAGACAACACTGGAAAGAAAATAGACTCGGTGTTAATGCTAATTTACTCGATTGTTTCTTTGACCCCATTTTAAATGAGATAATCCTTTTTTTATGAGTGAAAAGTCGTGGGCGAATTGTTTGGAACTTATTTTTCGTTGGCAAAATTGAGTTAACAAATTTTACTACCAGGAATTGGAGAGTTTAAAGGGTTTTTTGAAGAATTTGTGACTCCAAATTCGTCTCTAGCTCTTTTAATCATTGGTTTTGCTTGAAATGAGCTTTGGTTTTGGATTCTGTGAGATTATGATTAAAAAAATCGAATATAGAAACTCAAATAGCCCCTTAAAGGGGGGTATTAATCGCGGCCGCGTGATCTTAAAAATTTTTTTACGGCAACCACTTGTTTTTTTAGTTTAATATCGTTGATTTTATTATAAAAAGAATAAAAATCACCCGGCTAGAGTGATTTGATGGGTTTACAAATTTTTGGAGACACTGCAAAGCTTGGAGAAAAACAAGATCGTCAGACACCTCAGCACAGCCTAGATCGATTGAGTTTTAATTGCAGATAAATTTAAAAACAAAATAAAAAGCACAAAAAACAATAAAAATAAATTGTTAATCTATAATTCTTCCTCTTGCTCACTTTCATCTTGACTCAAGTCCAGCAGTTCCTCAAATCGGCTTCCTATCTTATCAATTTCCAGCGCATCTTCACCAGAAGTGACTGGATCTCCTCCACCGTAGGACGTCTTCAGCGCTTTGATTGACACAATTAGATCTTTTTTCCATTTGTGGTCGCTTGTGGTTTTAGTTTTCTCAAATAGGTGCCTTTGAGCTGAGGTGCCTGATGAGTGACGATTTTGTTTTTCTCCAAGCCTTGCAGTGTCTCCAAAAATTTGTAAACCCATCAAATCACTCTAGCCGGGTGATTTTTATTCTTTTTATAATAAAATAAGCGATATTAAAATAAAAAACAGGTGGCTGCCGTAAAAAAGTTTTAAGATCACGCGGCCGCGATTAATACCCCCCTTTAAGGGGTTTTTTTGAAGAATTGTGACTCCAAATTCGTCTCTAGCTCTTGTAATCATTGGTTTTGCTTGAAATGAGCTTTGGTTTTGGATTCTGTAAGATTATGATTCAAAAAAAATCGAATATAGAAACTCAAAAAAACCCTTGAACGACGTGGATTAAACTCTGGAATATTTTTGGTAGGTTAGCTCATAAAAACCACGTCAAAACGTTACAATTCTTTGAGCTTTAAGCGATCGTTTTCAGAATTCGATGGTAGACAAAAAAAAGTGATTTTGAGATCTTTTGAAAACCTAAATGCAAGCAGAGTCGAGAAAGCGAACGAATTTTTTGGACTGTTGTCTCATCGTTGTCAAATTCTTCCTGTATTCTTCCTGTGCAACGTTTAAGGAACTTTATATCAACTCCAAACCACCAAGCATTAAAGTTCGCTTAGAAAAATCATATCTGGACGTTCCTAGATGACATAGTTGAGGAAAAGTGCTATCTAAAACTTTCTAGTCAGCTCTTTCTAGTCTAGCTCTCTTTGGACTCAAAAAACTAGGGCTTTTCCAGTTTTGAAATCAACCCTTCACAGTTCTGCATCGAAGCTAGAAATATTTCATTTCTCTTATTCATTTATTTTCGATACATTTACTTATTCGTATCACCATGCCACCATTTTGCTATGGTAACTTTATGGTAACTTTAAACTGTCAAGGTCGACGAGACGTTTCCTGTGATGACGAGAGTTTGCCCTCGAATGGCTCAATCCCTTCAACTCCAATCAATAAGTATCACCATGCCACCATTTTGCTAGAAAATTTCCATGCACTGCCGTATAAATCAGAACAAGTGATACTTAAAAATGCTGAATATATTGCATGAATAAATGTGTTGATTTTCAAGAAAGTAGAATTAAAAAAACTACGACAAGACTTTCTCTCCAGCCTAAAACTTTATTTTCAACATAAAGTGATTCAAGACGATCAATTTCTAATTCGAACCCAGAAGATCCATTCAAGCTTGATTTTAAACGTCTATAGAGCTTTTTCATTACACTGAAAATGATCTAACTTCAGAATTTTTCGAAAGTGTTCAGCACAGAAATGTCGATACGGTCGAGTGAGAACGATCGTGAGAAAAGCGGTCATCTTTCCATGGGATCCATACAAAATCAACACTAAATTGATCATTGATCATTAATCAATACTAAATTTAGTAGTTTAGGTAATGAAAATATCAATAGTTTCATTAAAGCTTTCCCATACCTTTGTTTTCTGCAAAAACATATAGCCTCCAATAACAGCAACGGGTCCAGCGATTATGATTATGATTGGGAAAAGAGCCTGGATAATGGGATAGTCTTACTTACTGTTAGTTAGATTTGAAAAATGCATTCATTTTTGCTTTGCACTTGCTGGTTGTTAATCGGAATAGAACCTGAAAAGGAATGTGATTGCCTTATCAAACCTTTGAACAAAAACCTTGAAAACTTTTACCGGAAAAACCAAAGCAATAAGCAATGTTCAAAGCATTTTCCTCGTCTTTTCACTCATATAATTTGTTTCCATTTTGAAGATGTGCAGCGTGTGCCAGACCAGTAAAAAAAGCTGAATTAACAATTAAGGTTTTCTATTGGATTGGTGAATTGAAAACTGCCGGTCATATGTGACAGTTTGAGCACTTTCTTCAAAAGAAACCCATTTTGGTGTCAATGGAAAAGTTGTAGAGAATCAAAAATGATGCTTGTATCCAAATTTTCAGAACGATTCAAAAACTGCTTTTCAAGAAATGCCAAATTTACGAATTTTCACAAAACTTGCATTTTAAGCGAAACTACTAAGTGTATCTTTTTGGAAATTTGTCTATAAGCTTAATTTTTGATTCTCTACAACTTTTCTATTGACACCAAAATGGGTTTCTTTTGAAGAAATGGCTCAAACTGGGACATCTCCAGTCCTCCATTTTTGAGTCAAGTGAGACAAGTGTGAACTTGTCTCACACAAACCAAAATCCTACTACGAAAGAGGAATCCGCAAATTGTCTGTAAAATGGGCAGAAGTCGTCAATGATAATGGAAATTATTTGGAATGAATTGATGGTTTTATGTTGAACAAATTTTAGTTCAAAGTCCGGCAGTTTTCAATTCACCAACCCAATAACAGTTTGATTACTGTAGGTTTCTAAAATAGATGTCTTTTAGAAAACGTATTAGTTCTCTAATCGATAGGGTGCGTCATAATTACGACCAGTGGAGGTTCCTTCATTAAAAGTAGTTTTCATGTGTTTTGTAAGAAATATATTTATACTTCGATCTTTATAATTTCTTGTGAGACCGTGTCTCGGTGTGGTTCAATGGTAGATGTCTTGAAAACGAACATTCTATCAAAACTTTCCCTTATTAAGCCTTTCCCTTAGGGCAAACTTCGCTCAAACTGGAGCAACCTGGCACTATCACGATTACTTCAAGACTTGTGTGTGAAAAAGGATGAATAGAAAAAGGAGCACACAACTGACTCAAGAAAAAGCTTAAAATCATTAAAAAATAAGTTTTAAGTACACAAGCTACGACAAACAGACAACTGAATATTGTCTAGTGGCTGATTTGGACAACTGAACATTGTATTAGGTTGGCAACTAAATAATGGCCCTCGCCCTTTTTTGATAAAATCTTTTAATCTTTGCGTTTAATCTACCCTCGCTTGTTGTTAATTGAATATTACTGAATTTCTGGTGCATTATTATACGTTTTTTACTTTCCTTGATTTGATACTTTTCAAATAATTTTGTTTAGAAATGGAAGGTCTCAAATATCGAATGCGTGTCTGTCTCTGGTACGACTACAAACAAGACAAAACAGCTGCCGAATCCCACAGAGATTTATTGCAAGTTTTTGGTGATGAAGCTCTTTCCGAAACACAATGTAAGAGATGGTATCGACGGTTCAAGGAAGGGGATGAAAGTCTTGAAGATGAGCCTCGCCAAGGACGACCCGAACTTCTGCAGAACGATATTTTGGAAGCAGCTTTAAAGGAGGATCCAAGTCAAACATCACGCGAGCTAGGGGTCGATTGGGCTTTTCGCATACTGCAATCGAAAAGCGACTTCATGCATTGGGGGAAAGTAACCGCAGGGAAAGTGCATTCCGCATGAATTGAGCGAAGAAAATAAGGCTACTCGTGCTATCACAGCTGGAATACTACTAAAACTTGCGAAAAAGGGAAGCTTCTTGGATTCCATTGTCACTTCTGATGAAAAATGGATCTTTTATGATAATCGAACGCGAAAACGACAGTGGCTTAGCACAAACGAAGACCCAAAACCAACTCCGAAGCCGGATATTCACTCAAAGAAAATTCTCCTCTGTGTGTGGTGGAGTTCTCGTGGGTTGGTGCATTTCGAGGTTCTCAAAAGCCGGCAAACGGTTAATTCAGAACTCTATTCGTCTCAACTACATCGTGTAGATCAAGCAATTCGCTCTCAAGGACTCGAACCCTCTTCAATTCATTTTCTCCATGATAACGCAAAACCACACACTGCAAAACTTACAATGGAGAAAATCGAGGAGTTGGGCTGGAATGTTCTTCCTCATGCGCCATACAGACCGGATATGGGGCCTAGTGATTACCATCTTTTTCGATCGATGCAACACTTTCTAGCCGAGAAAAAGTTCAATGACCTTGACGAAGTCGGAATTTCAGTGCAGAAGTTCTTTGACGATCAACCAGAA